CAAACAAAACACCTTAACAGTTGTTTTCTTTATAAGATCAATAATTGTTTTCTTTGATCAATGTTTTGTTCTCTTATCATTGTTATTTTTAGTAGGCGTAAATAAATCATTATTTATTCCAGTTGATTGAATGAAACATATACATGTTAGTTAGACTAGATTACAATGTATATCTTCAATTAAGTAAATGAAGGAATTTTAAAATATTTTCTTATATTAATAAACAAAACAAAAAATATCAATATTTCAAATGACTAGTAGTCATGACAACTACTGTAATTGAATGTCAGTGGATGATACATTTCGCATTTGTATTTTCTTCCCCATATTCGATAAATCTTATACTAATGATTTTGATGTTAAAGTTTAAACTGTTTACTTACATGTAAAGTACTTTTATGCATGTTGATATAATAGTAACATTACACTAATAATAATAATAATAATAATAATAATAATAATAAGCGAAGGATGTCGCAAAGGTTTTATTATATCAGTAATATGAATTTCAACCACAATAAATGTCAATTTTCAAATTTTAGTTCGATAATATACCACAATTGATATATTCATAATATTCCAATGAAGAGAAAACTGAACTTTTGACGTTTAACAGTCTAGTGTAATTTACTTCTTTACAGATGAAATAAATAACTGAAATAAATTAATACAAGTTGTATTGAGGAACTAAACAAAATAATTATTATAGCCAATATAAGTATGTTCAAGTCATTTTTCATTATCATTCTAATCAAGATCATTTTGTGACAGACGTACTTATATATGAAAAGTGTGATATTTGTAATGTATGAGATTGGAACAGAACTATATATGATTGTTTTGTCTAAACAGTCAAAGGTAGATGGATAGTAAAACCTTCCTTCCTATCGTAAATAGTAGAGTTCAAGGTAACTTAAAAATGTTCCGATCGGTCACCATTCTTTAAAGCAGAACGAAGCCTTTCAATTATTTTGATTTTTTTAAATGTCAATTTTTGATAATCAGTAAAAATAGCACGTACTGCTAACTCCAATTCAGTTTTGAGATTTTCAAATTTTACAGAATTAGTAGAAGGTCATTATGTGTAGTTTAGATGTTTCTTGACACGAGTGAAGATATCACAATATTGGTCTTTAATATAGAAAATCGTCACAATCAACATGACCTTTTATGTAGACACAATTTTGTATTGAGGTGAAAAAGGTCTATTCCTTCATTCTAACTAGCTTAAATCCTCCACCACGGCTAATAATTATCCTTATAATTTCACAATAAAATTTGGTTAATTGTGTCATATTTAATGATCTGCATTTTTCATATTCAAATAACTTCTACCAAAACGTTGAGTTTAATATTTAACTTCTTAAAATATGTATCCTCCTCATCATCATCGTCAAATTTAATACATAGTCTATTGATTAATCTAAACTGTTACAAAATCTAATCTCTTTGTTTCCCATTGTCTTTAACTAACCAACCAATCAATCAAAATAACAAATTTCCTCGCATCAGTTAATTTATAGTGAAATGTAAAACGTTCAATAATATCTAAATAGTAATGATTATTTTGTTTTCAGACTTTATTATTTTCATCTTCATGATTATATGGAGAAATAGAAAAATGATTTAAAGATTCATTAATAACATAATATGATAATAAATGACAATTATTCAGTCCCCTTCTCATATTGTTATTATTGCATACTTCGGCACAATACACACTGTACGTACATATGTCAATAAGAGACTGATCAATTGCAGACCTAAATATCAATGGGAAGATTCAAGTTAACAATACGAGGTGAATTTAAACTTCATCCCATTGCACAAGCGAGTGACTATCAGGACTCGGTAGCTAAATGGATGACGCGACGACATTTGATGCTGAATGGTACTGCATTCCAGTTCCAGAATGGACATCAACTTTGAGATGCGGGTATTTCCAGCTGACGAGTCCCAAATAGGACGGAACTAACGTCCTGGATTCCAGTGCTAGCAACTATACAGCTTCGCTTATTTTGTCTGTTGTTGAAAGCTTAGAATATGTATTCCTTTGACTAGAAATTATTCATTTATTAAATTTTAACAGCTTGTAGCATGTAAAATCCTACATTTCTGGGTTATTTTGTGGTTGTTGACTTTCTACCTTGCTTTATGTGGAAGATCGTGATACTACATAGGTATGGTGTTACAAAAGTGTTGAAACCAACAAGATACTGTTTGATACATACTGAAAAGATCGATATCATTTTTCCCATACATCTAATTCATTTTACTTGTTGACACTAGCTAAAACGTATATATTTTCACTAAAAACGTATAAGATATAAGATTTGTGTAAACCATTGTTTCTATTGATAGATCGGTTAATTAGGTAGACCTCCGTCGACTGATACGGCTGGAACATATGCTACTTATTCCTAGCTATCCCCAATCTTGACAGGTGATTTTTGCTAATATCCGATTAAGTAAGAAGAAAGACTCGGCATGAGTTCATGAATTCATTGACTGTTGGTACGAACCATGTTGGTAGTTGCAAACTGTGTTTTTAAGATACACAAAACATCCATGATCGATGGTTAGAAAATTTAGGTGATAAGACGCGGAATTGTTTATGGTGGTGTTGATGAATTTAACCTTTATCTTTATCGATCTTGAACTCCAATTTTCTTTCATATATTTCTTTTAACTATTTTTTCTTACCCTATTCTTGATCCTGAGTCAGTTTTGTAATCATTACTGCCATTACAATATACTGATATCTCCCCTCGTTAATCTCATCTCTTGTCAGTGTGGTACAATAACTTGAACCAACGTACCTCTATGACAGACTCTGCATTGATAATAACTGACAAAATGGGATGTATTAATATATCACATGAGACAAAGTTTGATCTTGATTTACATTAAGATAATGTTCTCTTCTTATTACTTAGAAACAAATGCACTAAATGCCACATATCTTAATGTGTATTATTTTAACATATTTGACTCATACTAAAATGAGGCGCAATTAGGATGAATTGATAACAAAAAAATGTAAAACTGTGATTGAATTATTGTTTATATGAGCACCAAAATACACCTTCATGAACGATTTCATCCGGCTATGGTCAATGTTTTAGTTATAAAAAAATCACTCTCATACAGTTTATTTTTATCGACAGAGGATGTCTAAACAACTGTCGATTTCTTCCATTATTTTAAATAAATTTTTACTTGTATAAATAAATCTATACCGAATGTAAAAAAAATTGATGAATTTTGATGGAGTCTTGTTCTCTGAGCTAGATGGTTTAGTTGTGGAACTTTCATCGTTTTTCTGAACAACCGCATCAGCTGATGATGTCGTCATCCATCTGAGATAACAAATCTTCTCCACCATCTCATTACTGAATTTTCCTAACTTGACTTATATTTCAGATATAAGTATAATTCATTGTTTTTCTGGGTTTTTTTCATAAAATGTATTAACAACATCAACTATATTTCAAGCATTTGTCGGTTTCTGTAAGGATTTAAGGAATAGCTGCCGTTATTCCAAGTAAATGTTCTTACTGATATACAGTAATGCCTTTTAAGTTGATTTACTGAATATAATAAACTAATATTAACTGTAAAAATGTATGTAGCATTATAATCCTCCAAAAAAACTCTATGACTAGGTTACTCGTAATCTTCATATATGTGATTTCATTCCAATTATTAATCAAAATGGGTATACAATCAATATATAAATGAGTGTATTTTAGACTAGGGTCATCCTCGTATTTTTGAGGTTAATAAATCATCACTTATACCAGTCTTTGTGTTCTTACTTTCAAGTCATGGGAATTACAGAGGTCCCTCGTTTCGAGTATAAGTGATGAGCGTTCCTGCACAACAATCAGTGACGACCAGATATAAAAAGTAGCATTCAATTAACAAATTATAACAGTTAGAATAAAATTACGAAATTAATCGATATCCTTCATTTATAGTAGTTCGGTTGAATTAGAAATAAAAAAACGGAATGTTCAAGTTATTTGAAAGTTTTATGTAACTGATAAAATCTCACAACTAATCCACTTTTTTCTTATATACGTAAAAATTCTTCCTTATGTTCAGTGGAAAGAGTTTCTATACAGATTGATGTAAGTGCACTTCATATTTTATAATCAATGGAATACTTAACAGCACAATCCTTATCAAATGATGTTTCATACAATAAGATATAAACTTTTCAAAAAATGTAAATAAACTACAAACAACACCTCTGGCATATGAATAAGTTTCTGAGATATATATAATGTTATAAGTTCACCTATTTATTAATCGAATGTAATTGGCTAACTAATGTCAAATGATAATTGTTAAATATAAAATACTAAACAATTGAAATTCATATTGCCCAAGCAATGAAATACGATATAGGTCTATAAAGTTTCAAACAATTACATATCATTAAAACACGATTAGTTTGATCTTAATCGTAGACAAAAACGTTTTATTTCAGTGTATCTTTAAATATTCACCAAAACATCAATTGTGATAAAACTTTAAAATAAATTTTATCATGAGTAAGTTTAATTTAACTCAGGATACATTCCTTCATCTTGACTTAAGTGCATTAGACTTTGTTGAGAAGATAATTATGGATGGAACTAGAAAAGAAGGCCTAGGACAGAGTGAGTTGGAGAATGCTGGTCGGCGGCCTATGCTCCATTGGGAGTAACAGGCGTAAGTAAGTAAGTAATAACATGGATGGATGAAATGAAGTTAAAATTCACCTTACCAAAAATATATGATACAATGTGCCTGTAATCAATAATTATATTGAAGGAAATCGCATAGATCGACAATAAATACTCATAAATCAGATAGAAATTGATAAACATACATATGAGTTGTCTTAATGCTTGATATGAAATAGGCTAAACGTTATGATCCCCCAGATAGATATTTGTCATGTAAACACAGTGCCCTTTCTGAAGTGAAATAAAGAAAACACACGATATTGTATTCAGTCTTTCTTTTAGAATAATATTGGATTACCAAACATAATTGTGGTTTCATTGTAAACAATAAATAGACAATAAGTAAGATACAATCAAATCTCGTCAAGAAAACTCAATTTTTATTTATTCTAGCTACATATCACATTTACAATTCTTTTCCTTTAGTTCCATATGTATTTTTATTTCATTATTGTTTTACTGTACATACGTATCTCACTGTGGAAATGTGAAGTGTACAAAGAACACGATTGGGATGTTGAAAAATGCATTTAAAAGAATGAAAAGAATAAGCAAAAATCAAAGATTTATCAATGTTGGGCATTAGGTCCTTTTACATATTTTAAATATCCTTGTACAGAATTGTATGAAAGTTGTACGAAATTGATGTGACATTGAGCAATACAGTATAAAATTAATACCATTATTAACAATTGTCAATAGATCCATAAAATCACCCAATGCATTATACACAGTATCTGTGAAACAATCACCCACAAGTCCACTTAAAAATAGTAATATTGCCTGTAATGTATAAAAAATAGTAAAAGAAACAAACATTATAATAATGTTATGCACATAAGTATATATGTACATATTGCCATAGTACAACTAAACTCATAGAATTTAATCAACATCAAAGGGTCTAGATAGTCATGTCTTTGTTGAAACAATTGCAAATATAAAAATCTTAAAGCGAACTCCAGAATAGCTTGGCAATGAGGCTGAATGACACAAAAGCGAATCTTTCAGAGAGCACCAGTTCTCTCAACAGGGCTGGTACACTTTGATAAAGGATTCCGATTAACAATCAACTTAAGTTTAGGGTTCGCAATCCACAACCACCTCAAATATGTATGAACGATCTTATATATATATATCCTGTCAGAGTTTCATCTTTTCATGTAATTGATTTTCCTAAGTTATGTGATGTTATGAAATAAAAAGTTTATATTTTAATCCTGAATGTTTTGAAGTAGACGATGATTAACTATCCATAATATTGCTGTTAAAAAAATTAGAAAAGGTTTTTCTATATTATAGTAATTTATTAGTTCAGTTCATGAGTCGATTAAAGCTAGACCACCATGAAAAATCCGAAGGAACAGGATGGCCGTTTCGTTCTAATATTGCATTTCTGAGCAATGCGCTTCCATGATCCCACTAATCGAATTCGAACCTAAAAAAATAATTGCAAATTGATAAGATTTCTATTTAACCTAAAAATTTCAAAGTTATTTATCACTTAAAGTAACAAATTAAAAATGTCTAAAACTATTGAAAAATTTATTATTAAAATACAATAAGATTTGAGTAGATTTCGATGAACTCTCGAAGGTTTTTTTTCTTGTTTGCCTCTAAACTATTACATAACACTACAACTTAAAAAAATCAATGAATTAGATCAATCCAATGAAATATTCAAGGAATAAGAACTACTGAAATATATATTTTTTGAATATATACTTCAACATATCAGCTGACGTCTTATTAGAAAGCAACGAACTTAGGTTACTGCTAGATAAAATCTAACCAGATGGGTTTTGTGGAGATTGTAGTAATTTCAGTGGTTAAGATCATGAGTCAGTTGAAGCTAGACCACCATGGAAACCTGGAAGCACTGGACAGACTCATGGTCTTAACCATTGAAATTACTACAATCTCCACAAAACCCATCTGATATTGATCAACATATGCTCACTAGTGACTGGCTTCAAGAGGTATATCCTGGAGTTCTAGTGAGAAGTAGTAACCAGTGGAGTTCAATCAGGTCTGTTGTGAAATAGAAACTCACTGAAGACAATAGTGAATACGTCGCTCAATTTCTTGGACTAGTTGAAGTCAGACATTAATACCGTCGGATGCCAGCTCAGTGGTCTAGTGGTTAATTGCTCGCGCGAGAAACCAGTAGGTCCTGGGTTCGAATATAGCAGGGGACGAGGTCGTGGATGCGCACTGCTGAGGAGTCCCACAAAAGGACAAAACGGCCGTCCATTGCTCCCAGGTTTCCCATGGTGGTCTAGCTTCAACTGAATCATGATCTTAACCATTGAAATCTAACCAATCAGCGTCAATCGGAAATATAACTTTATGTCTTTTGATTTTTTTAAAAATATTGGCTCTTCACTATTTCAGTCATCCTTGTATTTTGTTCTTTTCATCAATTAAAACAATTTAAACCTTTCATCTCAAACTTCTGCTCAAAGCTTCTTTTTCTGTAACTAACCATTAGGTGATATTACGGTGTAAATAATTTGTAATTTTAAGAATTATTATATCATTAATGAGAACAAGATATATACGTGAATGATATTGTTTTCGACTAGATCCTCATTAGGCTTTACTCTTATATATAGTAATATTAATGTGCATATTCGAAATTATTAAACCAATCAAGGCAGTTTACGAGTCAGTAATAACACTGGAACAAATTACATAGCCAACCATAATAGTGTGATTACAGGTGTACTAGTTGTGCAATAAAAAAAATAAAGGTTTACAAATTTCTTATGAATTGTTGGCTCAAAACTCTATGGTTTCTGTTATGTGCAAAAAGTGAGATCGAACCTCAAAAGTAAAAAAACTAGTAGGGATACGACCTACTACATAACCTCCATTGATCATATATGATAGAACATCTCAGACCATCTCAGAGTTGTGTATTGTTTTAACGAACCATAAAGGGAGTTGTTCACTAACTCGTTAAATAAAATCATATGTTGTTATGTGTTAAACAATATTTCACTATTGATATTCTTTATTCTTTTATAGATTAATTGAATTATAACATCCAGATGGTATTTCTTATAATGATATGCCTAATTAAATTGAATTTGATATTTTGGTAAATTTTAATGAATGATCAAGAATGATAAAGTATGTAGGTGAAAGTTACTTAATCCATATAATCTATGAAATCTATAAAATACATTGTGATCCCAGATCGGGTAATAACGTTAGGGAATAAAAACGTTTAGTCAGAACTATGATTTAAAACAATAATTTTGGGAAATAGTATAGTGAGAATTCCTTTCTAAAGAAAACAATCCTTACTTAATTATAACATTTCTACTTAGAATATTTGTTGATTATTTACCATACTTTATTATTTATCATTTAGTCTGTGGAGATGGACATGACAAACTTGTGTTGTAAATAGTTTTTGATATTATTTGCATTTATTTAGTCAGTTTTCACAGTTTGTACATTTAACATAAAATGATTGTATATGTTGTTTAAGTGCATAACCATGAACAGACTTTCTTTCGTTGTGTAACACTCATAGCATGACACACATTGATAACTACTTGTAAATACACTATTAAATACACGTCTATCATTCCGCATTGCCTGTGGTTGTGATAACTGAACTCTGAAATATCTGTTATCTACATTTATAGACTGCAATTACATTTACATTATATTTTACTAGAACCATAACAATCTCACCGGAATGATTAATTATCTATAAGTATGGATCCTAGTACTAAACGCAACTCGAACACTCACAATCTTGCCAATCTAATTAACGTCTTTTAATTTTTATTTGTGTTTATTAATTATAATAATAACTTTATTACTATTTTTGAGTTAATATATTTTTGCTCCACTACAAGTCTATCAATATACATCTTCCTGTGAAGTCCTGACAACTATAAAATATATATTCAAACATTTTATGCTCATATCAATATTTTATTGAAATAAGAGTGTGTAGGAAGTTGAATTAGTGAGTAGGATATTTTTTAAAATTTTAGAAATGTTTTATAGTTAATAACTAATGAACTAAGTAAATTAAAATCTTATATTTATTAGAAAATACAATTCATTGAATAGATTAATCACTAAGATAAGAGTTTTCACAATTGATTGATCAATGTCATGTGTGTAAAGTCCTTATTTAGTGCAGATCGAATGCTATCGACCATGCTGCAATGTGGCCACCAGTCTAGGTGACTCGACACTGCGTGCACTATATATTGAGATTAGATGGTGATTTGAGGTTGTCGACAGGAAACCCAGGACTCGGGTTTCATGCTGCTTGGCACTCGGGATCGAATCCGCCAGCGAGCACCAGTTCCCTCAAGATTACAGGTACACCTTGCTGACGAGTGCCACATAGCACGAAACCTGGGTCCAGGTTTTCTTGTCGACTATCTCCAACCACAATCTGATCTCAAGATAAGGGTTTATTTAGATTATTCTCTGTTGATCTATGGAAACAATCTGTTTAACTTAATAATGAAATAGAGAATTTGAATGATTTTATTAATAACACTGTAATGAGTATCACACTGTGTAAGTGGATTCTGAAAATGATAATTAAGTCACACTAGCTTATTTATTTATTTTAACACATAGATATTGGTACAAAGAGGCAGCAAATACATAAGCGCGACACAGATCTCATTTGATAAGTGTGAGGGCTGTGATACTGCCCGGGTGCCCAGACCGAAGCAGGTGGTTATCTTAGGGAGCCACACCCCGAGCCTTTGACCTAAAGGTCTAACACACAAGGCAGTGGAGCATCGTAAGGAGATGCCGTCCCATGGTAGCCGGTGACCAACGATTGGTTCATACGCCATTTGTTCCTTTAGAATACTGGAGCCCATGTGCTCCATTGGTTTGGAGTCAGGGTTTTCCAACTCCCTTAGGTGGACTCTCCATGTCCACCAATCCGGTTAAGGCTACGGACATTCGCTTTTCGTCCTCTCAATTTGGTAAACAACACCCTCACCACGAAAAGGCAGTGAGTAGGACTTCCCTGGCAGAGGCTATATGAATGATTGACATATTTGTTTTGTATTTTTTGGCAATTAAATATTTTATTACAGTAATTTATTGCGAATATAAACTCAATAACTTTTTGTATGTAAAATAATTGACATCTGCATTTTTTTTATATCTTCGAATTGAATTACTGTCATTCATATAAAACAAAGCAATAAAATTTCTTTACGAAATAATCTAGATTGATTAAAGTTAAACATTAACACTATTGGATCAAGGCTCAGTGGTCTAAAGGTTAAGTGTTCTCGAGTGAGATTGTGGATGCACATTGCTGAGAAATACAAATATTAAGACGTAATTCCCGTCCAGTGTTTTTAAGTTTACCATGGTGGTTTAATTTTAATTGACTCATAAACTCAGTTAGTGAATTATAATTGTCAATAATATAAGTTTTACATGCTTGATTTTATCTTATTGAAGTGGAGTTAAATCAATCTTCTTTTCTTTTGAAAGAAAGAAAAAAAGAAATGATTTCCTATTTGAAATTATCAAGGTAGAACTAATGATCAGTATCACGCGATATTCTTTACTAATCTTTTCAATTATTATAGATTTTAGATTAAGGATTTATATATTTTGATTCAATTGAATTAGACTGGATATTGTACCCATACCTAATCTCTCTTTTTTAGTGTTTGATCTATGAATGGATACACTAGCTTATTGAATAATGTACAGTAATATGGATGATTAAATAACATATTACTGTTCTACAAACTCTTCTGTAATTAAAACTTCATTTTGTCTTCGTACTAAAAGTACATGGATTAAGGTACACAAAAGTGTTAATTACTTCAACTCTAAATGTATAATTTTATAGCAAATCATTCACAATAAATAATTTCTAGTCTGTTCGTAATTTATTTGGTAATATTTTATAGATAAACATTTCACTTCCATGCAAATTTATCGATTTCATTAAAGGTTATGGGAAACGTATTACTAGTTTTGATCACAAACTTATTAAATATATAAGTTGTGGTGACAGACTGATAAGCATAGGAAACTGTGCCAACTCTTGCTAGTGTTAACAAGTAGGGTTTAAATCATACTTTGTCATTAAAACAATAGCATGTACCCTAAGTCACAAAATTTATGTAAACAAATATTCCCCAAGTGATGATTAGAAACTTAAAAATACATAGATTCTGGGGTTAGCTAGTGTTTCTTTTTAAAGCAGATATCTAAACATGTATAGTGTGATAGACCTGATTTAGAATAAATTTGTGAATAGATCCTCACCAATGAAATCGAACTAACGTTTTATATACTTCCTAATTAAATAAAAGTATTTGACTCCTGTGTGCGAAATGTCCGTTAACATACTACGCTCTCAATACTCCAAATACAATGGTATACAAAAAATTGAACATATAAAGGTCAAACAAGTCATGTGGGAACGCTAAAATGAGCTTAATTTCATATCCAGTCAAATTTGTTCCCCAACCAGAAATGTCATTATGATATAATTACGCCTACCACCAAAGACGATGCACGGTTATGTAAGGAAGAATTTTAATAGATGAATTTTTGAGTCATCATGGAAAACCTGGTACGGAACTCCTTAGCAGAGCCATCCACAATCTAGATGTTAAGCGTTTATTCGTGAGACTGAAGTTCCTGGTTTCGATTCCTGCGTATTGGTTCGTCGATGCCTACTGCTGAGAAGTCCCATACTAGGACGAAATGATCATTCAGTGCTTTCACGTTTTCAATGACGGTCTTGCTTTAATCGAACGATAAATTCAACTGTTAAACTACTACAGTCTTCAGAATAACCGCACAATCTAATAAGGAGGCATTTGTTTACATCATCATGAATAGAATCAATAAATTCTTTATAATGAAAAAAAAGAAATACTTAGAAAACAATCGCTTACAGATCTTTTCATCCATAGAAATAATATACAACTTACCTGAGGTAATAATGTAATCATAAATATGAAAACAATAGCTAATAAAAATTTTGTCATTCTATTTTCTGCTTTTTCACGTTCATTTTCAAATGTATTACGTTTTTTTAATAGATTAACATTTTTATACATTGATGAATTAGTTGTATATGATAAAGTATTAGATCCATGATTAATTAATTGATTTTGATTTTGATCTAATTCATTATTATTATTATTATTATTATCAATGATGATTGAATTTGTACTAGTAGGATCATGTGGACTGGATGTTTCAATAATACGATCAACACAAATAATTGATTTGGTTTTTATTTTTCTCATTCGTGAATTTTGTTTACGTATTGTATATATAATCATAAAACTAAGTACACATAAACATAATAATGGTAGAAGTTTTAAAAATATTGCTGTATTCCAATAAAGATAATTTAACATCACTTCATTATCTACATAAGTAACCATGTAACTATTCAATTTATGTTCATTATTATTTTGTACAATATGATGATTCATAATACATGGAATAGATAATATACTACTAATTATAAATACTATTGTAATAGCAAGTTTAGCTCTTTGCATACTGCATAAAATTTGACATTTTACTATAAATTTAACATAAAGAACTCGAAATACAGCTATAACAACAACAATATAACTTGAAGTTAAATGAAGAAAATTTTGTAAACTAATATGAAATAAAAGATAAATAGCCCAATTATAAGTTGAATTACGTGTATGACGACCAATTAAGAAATAACTTGTAAATGGTATATAAAAAATCATTAATAAACCATCACTAATTGCTAATGATGTTAATAGAAAATTTGTCGGTGATATCATATCACGTTGATTAAGTACAATTACAATACAAATGTTGGATAATACACATATAGGACATAGAAATAATGTAATATATCCATGCATATCACCGTAAACACGTCCAAATAATTCCAATGATTCAATAGGTTTACATTTTGCATTGATTATTGGCATAATATTAGTAGTTGTTACTAATGATCTTGTTGTCATAGATTGATTCACTTCATTTATTGGTGATGTTGATAGATTGTTTGTGGTTATTGTTGATGCTATGGTTGTTATCATTGTTGTTAATTGAGTTATATTACTGAGCATTATTCAATCTGTTCAATATATAGCCTAGATTATATAATCCATGAAAGTAAAACAACCTAGACAGTGCAAAGAGACAAGAAAAAGAGAATTTTGCGCTAACACGTTATCACTAAAATTTACACATTGAACACTTATTTACATTGTCATTCATTAGGGGAACTTTTTGATAAAAATTTAGCACCAATTATATCGAAACCATCGAATATAAAAATTATTTTTAAAATAATTTTGGCGCCTGAATTCTCAAATAGTTTCAACAGTTTATGTGACAGTCTGATCAGAGTTACTTATGGCGAGACAAAATTATCATAGATAATTAAGGTTAAATATAAGTCTGTTCAAATTCTTGCCCAATTCTGTCCAGATATCGACTTAGTGTGCAATAAGAATATTAGTCACTTGATGTCGAAAGTCCTCAGATTGCGGTAAGCGAATAAGCATGGGTATATGTATTTTCTGTTGTTTTGGTTACGATAGAGAAAACGTTCACTTCTTTGCTTATGATAAAGCCCAAAGCACTTAGTAAACCAAACTAACAATTGTACTATAGTCATTAGAAACAAGACGTATGGTTAACTTTGGAGGAACTCAACGTCTTGAAGAAGCAATAAGTTATGGAACTCTGTATTTGCTCGAAAATCAGAACAATCTGAACAGAATCATATTTTATTGACCATTTGATAAAATCAGTATACAAATACAAATACATAAATACATGTTTACTATACTTTGAATTCGCATTTGAACAGTATTAGAAAACTCGTTTTTTATCACTCGTATTTCATTAAATCCACATAACCTGTGGATTGCACTATAAATGTTTGTTCAAAATGACACAACTAGACTAATTATTGAAATTTTCCAATTAAAACCTGTGTCGGGTGGAGACAGGTATCTACCTCAGTATATTGGAAGATGGTCGCGCAATTTCGTGGATTCGTTGATGCTAGACACTAACACCATTGGATGCCAACTCAGTGGTCCAGTAGGTCAAGAGTTCGCGCGCATGACTAGAGGGCGTGGGTTCGAATCCCGCAGACGGGATTCGGGTGCGCACTGATGTAGAGTCCCACAATAGGACGAAACGACGGTCAAGTGCCTCAAGGTTTCCAACGGTGGTCTAACATCAATCATTACACATCAATCATTCTCTGTTCTCATCCTCTTTTATTCTCTCTTCTTAACATTCTACGACCTGGTATTCCCCTTTCAACTGATGATACATACTAATCATATCTGTCGACATCATTAGCACAAAGCAAACTGGTATGAAACTCCTCAATAGTGCGCATCTACGATCTCACTCTCAGGATTCGAACTCAAGACCTTCGATCTTATGCACTAAACCGATGTTATCATCAACGTTTATTTCAGAATTTTTTTAAATTTTGATGTTGATTATAATATTTTACAAAAAAACAAATTCTATAAAAGTTTATGTCACATGCTTTAATTTTTAATTAAAACAAAATATTCTAGCTCTTTAATTTTTAAATTCGATTTATAAACTAATTTAAAGGAACATTAAATGTCTATTATTGTTGACAATAAAAATTAAAGTACGTTTACCAATACTAATTTACGTAATATATCTATCTATATCTATCTGTATCTATCTATCTATCTATCTGTATCTATCTATCTATCTATCTGTATCCATATATATATTCTTTGTTTTGAAAAACATCGAACTGTTTTGCGTCATCCATATGTATCTCTAATGAATTTCAGTCATAGTAGGAAATAATAATTTATTTATTAAAATTCATTTTATCAATAAACAAATTGTAATACAAAACAAATAAGAGATAAATTTGGTAAATTTAACATTAGTTTAATCATTTTAAAAGAGTATGCCTTTTTATTCATTAATTACTATCAGTAGAAATATCCAACACAGTGAATACTCTTCTTTTTTTTTAATCATTTCCGTTAGTGTTATAATTTTTGTTCTATATGACCTCATAAGGTTATCATATAGAACATCTAAGGTTCATAGTTTTATTTACATAATAAATTAATGTAATTTTGTTGATTAATCATTTGGTAATTTAGTTAAATATACTCTATAATGATCTATTAGTTGTATACATATATGAAACATTTGAAATTATTACTTATTATCAAATAATGATTAATGATAAATATCATACTATTTAATGTATGAAAAGTAAGTTAGTCTCAAGATTTATATTATCTAGTAAATGAATAGATATCTCTACAGAATTTTTTTGTATGCAATGATGGATATTGGCTAGCAGTGAAATCCAGGACGCACGTTTCGTCTTGTATGGGACTCGTCAGCTGGATGTACCTGCATCTCAGAGTTGATGTTCACCCTGGAACACAAACCCAGTACCATTCGCTTTAAATGCCATCGCGTTATCCACTCAACTACTGATTCCTGATACTCACTTGCTTGTGCAATCAGATGAATTTAAATTCACTTGGTATTTCACTTGGATTCCACTGCTAGCCACTACCAATGTTTGCTTAGAAAAAGCTTGTGAATTAAGGCAATATCGAGGCATATGCACAGTATGCACATATGCCAATAACAGATTGATCAATTGCAGCCTTAAACTTCAATGGGAAGATACAAGCCAAGCAATAACAAGTGAATCTCTACAGAATATAGTAATATTCTGATTCATAGTAACAATTCATTATTCAATTTTTCCCTTTAGAATGAACATTACGCGCATGAATATTTCATAATATAATTTTTTTTTCTAAGACAGTGTAATGCTTTGATACGGTTACAGTCTATAAATGCATAGACAAGGATATGTTTAATGCTAATTATATAGTTAGTAACAAACATAAAGGTGGTGAAATTTTAAACTATTTATTTATCATGAATAAAACTGTGTTACTATAATCATTAATTACATGAATTACAAATAAATATTATTGTTAAGTTTCATAAAGTTGATTGATAGTTATTCAATTTATCCTCTTAATTCAATTTCTACTTAGAGTTTATCTCCTTAAAAAGTTAAAATAAAAAATAGAATGGCGAGGCTGTAATTTATGGACGACCTTTGAACGAATCTTAAGTGACCTTCAGAAATATTAGCCAATCAGCAAACAGTCAGCATAGAATAAAAATATATTATACAAAACCAAGAAAATAATGTGGATACACTTTTTATACGTGGTTCATGAACTTGTCAAGGTTAGAAAGAGGTTCAGAAGTTCTAAAGTCGTAATGCATGCAGTAGAGGAAATCATCCGTACGACTACAGAATAGTCGGCTTCTGAAGCCATGATAAAGTCTCAAAAACTTTTTAGCCTCGACCACATAGCTTCACTATTGTTTATGTGCACTCCGGTTGTTAAGTGCACAAAATGAAACATGTGGATAATGACAGAATGCACATTACCAAGCCTATGTAGGAGTCTGTACGTTCTCCAAACACCCGTATATATTGTAGTACCTGGCTGCAGTCAACGTTACTGGTACTTTTATTATCCAGTTCGCAATAATTGTCGTAATTTGCCTCAGTTAGGAATTATATATGGGGTTTTCATCACGAACTGACATCAGCTATAATGCCAGAAATTTATTTAGCCAAATGGATGAAAGAATTTCGCGTTAAAATACGGGATCTATTATCTTATACCTGATTGATTCGTCCACAAATAATAGTCTCGCGGTTTTATTTGTTATAGTTGCTCAATTATCACGTTTTGTACAAAATTCCTTGTGAACCGATTGCACGTTAGCATTAAGCACTGAAGTTGACGCCGTAACCTTGAAATCCTTCAAACGCCTGTGATTGGCTCGTCTATACATTAGAGTCTCGCCATTAACTAAATACATTAGTTAAATGAATTACAATCAACTATCACAAAACAATTAATCTAATGAATCAGAGAAATCTCTTTTCCTCATTTACAAACTATTTTAAAACAAAAATTACAGTAGAACAATACAAATTCATTACATTTTGGAGTTGTTTTTCAGTTACTTACAACCAATATATATTCATGTTTAACATTAAAGTATAATCTAATATGAAACATCCAACGTTAATGAATGAAGAAATAAGAGTAAAAAAAGATTATCTATAATAATTATATCTATATATTTTTGGTTCTAACTTTATTCCAATTCATAATAAGAACCAATTACATAATTTTTTTAAAACAAATAAATTATAACCGTACAATAACTCGAAACAACAACGACTTTACTATTCAGTCAATTTATTATGATGTAATTGAAAATAATGTCTCGAAATTTGCATGGCATTTCAACTTGCATTATACGCATTATTAGGTCCCGAGAAACATAATGAATGGTAACTTAGGAATCTTTTTATAGACCAATACTAAACGTATATTTCTATCGTATAATTGTTTATTAACTAAACTATTCATATTTCTCTTATTATAAACTTTATTTTGACCTATGAACCATTATTATGTCCTGTCTATTAGTCACTGCCTCCCACATTCACAGCCTCATTTGGTCAAATTTTGTACAAATGTTATTTTCTATTTTATGCTACGTTGTAGTCTATTTGATTGGTATATAAACTCAGTATGTTTGAAATATAAGGATTCATATTGCAGAGGCTAAGATTGGTGTTCTGGACTTTAACTGGGTGAGCTAGGCAGAAAGCAGGATCAATCAGGACTCTAGGCCGCTCGCACGTGTTCTACGCATCCTTGATCCGATCAATAGTTCGCTGCTTATGATTGGTGGCTTTGGGCTATGTTTATTTATTCCATTATGTATAAGTATAGTATTGTAGATAACTCGAACTATTAGCCAACTTAAATATATGTGGGCTTGATTCGATTAAACTAATGAATATGTAAACAATTTGATAAAAAGAAAAATTTTTTTTCCCATTTTCAAATAAATTCATATTAAGAATGGAAAGTGAACTGAACGTTTATATGTATTTATTAATCCATCCATTCATCCATCCATCCATCTCTCTATCCATCTATCATTGTGTCACAACTCAATTGTTATCTAAATATAATTGGCAAAATGTTTTTTTTCTTTGAAATATGAACCAATCAATATGCTTTCAATATACTAAATAATTTTCATTGAGTTATATCATTTTAATTGTTTGTGAAAAGTACTAGTTCCATATGGAAATGTGAACATGAATAACCATAATGATGTCATAGATTAGATTTATTTTTATTAAATGAAAAAGAATGTTCTCTAATCTTGTAAATAGTTTTAGATTCATTATAAAATATATAGCAATATATTTTATTGAATTTACCTTGGATACAGGGAATAAAATGGATGTACTCCTAAGGTGGTTTAAGCGTATATATATATATATATATATATATATATATATATATATATATATATATATATATATATATATATATATATATATGTAACATAGTTAGTTTAGAGTGAATGTAACAAAATAATCTTTCGCTTTTTCCCAATACTAAATATTAATGACAGTTAGATAGAGAATATAATATCAGTATAACAAATCAAATTTGAAAATTGGAAATATGAAAGAAAATAAATTTTTAAATGTTTTTCTATTATTCAGTGTTGGTTGGTTAGATGGAGACTGCTGGTGGGTGGCCTATGCTCCTCCACGAAGAGAAACAGGTGTGAGGAAGGAAGGAAGGAAGTATACAGAGACAAAGGACAGAAATTTTATCGATTACATGTATAAATGTTTAATGAATGAATGATACAGTATATTGTAAATTTAACAATATTATTTTCTATTATGCAATTGATAATGTTCTTGTATTGTTGAATTAACGTCACAAATGATTAATATCAATGGTATTTGTTTGCATTGTGATAGAACTAATGAGTTATTAAGGTTAGTATACCTGTCACCTTATTCAAAGTGTTGATTTAATTCATTCACTACTCAACGAATGAATTTAATTATGTCAAGACAAACAGAATATTACATTGACAGAATGTTTCTATTGAAACTGTGTTTCAAAAACAAGATTTTGTACAAGTTCTCATTAATAAACGAAATCATTTATTAGACCAATGTAGCATGGTTTACTATCAATGTGACCTTTTTTAATGGTTTCTCGTTACATAGTCTTACATAGTCTTATTATTACTATTGCATTTCCCTTAGGTACCAAAATAAAATTTAGATAGAATTTCATTTGTTGTTATTAGTGTTATAATGCCACATTAATTATTAAGCTTAATTTAGAAACCACCATTTTTTCACTAGGTCTTCAGGAAGTTACTCATAAATACTATGTAATATATGTATATTCTTAGATTAGCTGAGATTTTGTAGAGTTTTGCAGAGTTATATTTTTTAGAATTACTAATTAAAAATAAGTAGTACTACCTATTTTATTAAGAAAATACATTTTTCAGCTGTTTCAATTATAAAAAAAATTAAATTCATAATTTATATTAAATTATTTATTTTTTAAACTATAATTTAGTTTCAATAGTTCAGATCATCAGTCTAAATGTCAAGCATTGGTGCGCAAGACCGATAGGTCCTGGGATGAAATCTTGTGAGGCGGGATCGTGGATGCACACTGTCGAGGAGACCTATAACAGAACGAAACAGCCGTCCAGTACTTCCAGGTTTTCCAAGATGGTCTAGCTTCAATTGACTCATAATCACAATTATTGAAATTACTATAATATTCACAAAAACCCCTTCTGATATAATTTAGTTATTTATTAAATGTTGACTTATTATTGCTTAAATAGTTCTGTTTATTATTTCAAGTTATCGACTAAAATTTATGACTATGAATTTCATACCTTAAAAAGGTAATAAAAATTCAGTGGTATTTTTTTATTACTTGACCTTTCAGTGAGTTTATCAAAACAACATAGATATGTGAAAAATAAAATAAGCAATATTTCCCTTAAAGCATTTAGCCAATTCTGAACGGTAGTATTCGCAAGCTTAATACACTCTATTCTTTATTCTTAAATATATGCTGATGATTATGTGGATTCTTAAAAATGCTCAATATCAACGAATAACTTAGTTTCTAACTCTTCATCTTAAGAAGTAATTATTTATGTAAATGTATAGATTAATTATGAATACACAAAAAAGGTTTATTATCGTTTGCTGTTCTGAGACCAAATTGAAATAGTTTACAAATAGTAACCAGTGTGATGAAACTAAATCAGAAACAACATTGATTATGTTTTATACAGTGAATCTATTTAAGATAGAAATATGAACAAGTTATTAATGTGTAATAATCACGAAACTGAACTGATTTAACTAATATCTATATTGAAGATGAGATTCATTATGACTAGTGATTCATTCAAACAATCGGTATTTTATGATAAGTGACAATACAATTATATATTTACAAATCATCTGTTATAAAATAGTCCGGTTAAGTAGTTATTTGATAACTAAAACAAATATCTAGTTTGTTCTTAAAATTCTCAAACACATCTGCATGCACCAAGCATCTGATAACGGTAATTCAATATTACTGAAAATATTCAAACATTTCGATTATGATAAACTAATCTAATTTCTATGATTCAAAATCATGCAATGATTAAAGTCCCGACCGTTCTTGATACCTTGACGTGGTAGTCGGGCTTACCTATCGTGATGAAGCAACCGAGCTATACTGGCTGGAACAATCGTTCCGCAAGGTCCTACCATGTCAGACAGGTCGGTTGAAGAGCCGTAAGACTAAAAGCAACAAACCCAAGGTCCGAAGGCGAAGTCGTACTGCTGACTGTACAGAGGTGTGACAGCAGTAGGGTATTTCGTTCAGACAACCAGCATGACAGCGATGCTGCCTTCCCACAAGAAGGGGTGGGGTTAGAAAAGGTCGACCCTAAAAATGCACACCTCGCCTTATCCCACGAATATCCGTCTCCGGCGGTAAGGTCTCAACAAGTACGGAGCTAACACAAAAATTACCCACAAAAAGGTCGTGTGTGACCGACCTCAAGCAGTAGTCCCTTGGGCACTGAGGTCATGCTCTCAGGTCACTAAGACCACCTCTAATCCAATTTCCTTTTTAGGCACCTCCAGAAGAACTATTCCACGGTGTGGGCAACCGGGAAGTAATAACCGCCGTTATACCTCTAACAGCACTCAAGACCACTGACTGAATGATTAATGTAAATAACAATGTAATTGCATAAATTGTCAAAAAAGAAGCTTAAATTATCCAATATTCATTGTATTAGTTTTAGCTAAGTAGCAAAATGATTTCTTAATAAAACTTCATCAAAATCATCTATCTAAGCTACAAATCTTTACTATCTCACAAGTGACATTACTTTCAATTTAATGCATTAAAGCATTCAAAGTGTATACAACAAAAATTTCTAAAATAAAAAAAGAATCATATTTACATTTTTATATTTATGAAATTCAGATACACTTACCAATTTACAAATAAGAAGAGAATGAAGACATTTATCACTTCTATTCATAATTATGCATTATTAACTGTGAAATATACTTTATTCATTCAAATGTTTATTTTCATTAAAAAGGATGTAAATCTATGTTCATTTTATCTTGTATATAATAAAATACTAAACAAAATAAATCAGTATATGGATGATAAATTAAGCTTGTATGTATATATAGATATATAGATATATATCAGTAGTATAAGTAAATATCTATCATTTCAATGATAAATAATAAGTTAATGTTTATATTAGGTATTTATATGAACATTAACTTATATACTCTACATAAAATAAAATTAACCAATAAGAAATAAATGAAATTCATTTAAATCATTTGATTGGTTTAATTTTCTATTAGAAATGAATAAATTGATAATATATAATAAATAATTTTGATTATATATTCATTTCATTATAAATAAATAGGTATTTTAGTAAAATTCGGGGTTTTGCGGAGATTGTAGTAATTTAAAAAAACTGTTGAGATCATGAGTCAATCGAAGCTAGACCACCATGGAAAACATGGAAGCACTGGACGGCCGTTTTGTCCTATTGTGCGACTTCTCAGCAGTGTGCATCCACGACCTCACCTCGCTGGATTCGAACCAAGGATTAACCAGTCTCGTGCCAAGCGCTTAACCAACTAGATCACTGAGACGGCATCCAACGGTGTTATTGTTGTTAATTTCGTGGATTAGTTGAAGTTAGACATTAACACCGTTGGATGCCGGCCAGCTCAGTGGTCTAACGGTTAAGCACTCGCTCACGAGACTGATGGATCATTGGTTCAATTCCAGCGAGGCGGGGTCGTGGATGCGCACTGCTAAGGAGTCCCACAATAGAACGAAACGGCCGTCCAGTGGTTTCAAGTTTTCCATGGTGGTCTAGCTTCAGTTGACTCATGATCTTAACCATTTAAATTATTTTAGTAAATTATGAGGAATAATATTGCCCCCGAACGCCCTGGTACGGCCGAGAGTGGGGAGAGTCCGCTCTCCCTCTCGAAATACTCTCACACGGCCGCGCGTATACAGCCTCTGCCAGGGAAGTCCTACTCATTGCCTTCTCGTGGCGGGGGTGTTGTTTACGAAAATGAGAGGACGAAAAGCGAACGTCCGGCGCTTTAACCGGATCACAAACCAATGGTGCACATGGGCTCCAGTATCCTGCGGGAACAAATGGCGTATGAACCAATCGTTGGTCACCGGCTACCATGGGATTGCATCTCCTCACGATGTTCCACTGCCTTGTGGGTTAGACCATTAGGTCAAAGGCTCGGGGTGTGGCCCCCTAAGATAACCACCTGCTTCGGTTTGGGCACCCGAGCAGTATCACAGCCCACACACAAACAATGAACTCTATGACTACGGCAGCTACCTTTCTCGATCCGATAAACAATCAATCAATTCAAATAATTATCATTACTATTATTGTCATTATTAATACTATTATTATTATTATTACCATTATTGTTATTGTTATTATTATTATTATTATTATTATTATTATTATTATTATTTTCCACATTATTCACCCTCTTTTATACTTATACAGCGGCTCGTCTTTGGTGGAAATTCGACTGTATCTAAACATTCTCGAGTCACTGTTCGGTTGAAAATTGTATGTTACCACCGAATACGAGAACTGAAGCAGTTTTTCTGAAACCACGTGCACCATTCAAACTGGCTGCCTTCAACGTTCGCACACTAATGCAGGTCGGACAACAGATAGGGCTGGCTATGTCTTTGGAAAGTCTCAATATTGATGTTTGTTGTCTATCCGAGACCCGTTTTCAAGACTCTGGCGAAGTACTACAAATTCGATCTCCATCTGTCGCTTCGAAAAGCTTGTTTTACGTGCGCTTATCCGGGGACCCTGTGGCATCTTCGTCTGGTCTTGCTGGCGTTGGTGTCGCACTAAGCGCTAGAGCTGAGGCAGCACTAGTAGATTGGATCCCCATTAACAGTCGGTTATGTGCTGTTAGATTAGAAAGTTACATCAAAGTGAGAAGAAATCGGCGTGAGAAACGATGTCTTTTCGTCATCTCCGCCTATGCCCCGACAGATTGCAGCCCGGATGCAATCAAGGATGAGTTTTACCACCAGCTGTCTGTTCTTCTCCAGAAAGTGCGCTCGACAGATATTGTAGTACTAGCCGGAGACTTGAATGCGCAGGTCGGGCGTCTAGGCACAGAAGAGAGTCGTTTAGGTGGCCGATGGGGACTCGTTGGTCGCAGGTCAGATAACGGCGACCGTCTACTGCAACTTTGCACAGACCACAACCTGTTTCTGGCTAGCACTAACTTTCGGCACAGTCATCGCCGATGTGCCACTTGGCGTCCTCCCTCTGCATCCCAAGCCTGGACTCAGATTGGTCACATCGCGATCAGCTACCGCTGGCGTGGTTGTGTAAAAGACTGCCGCTCCTTTTGGAGTACCTATCTGGACTCTGACCATGCCTTGGTCTGCGCCAATCTCGCCTTACTTTTCAGTGGACAACGAAGTGACCGCCATCAAAGGATTGATATTAGCAAGCTGGTTGCAACCTCTGTTGCAAATAAGTATCGAACCGAGCTAGCTTCTAGGCTAGCTACCACTCCACCGAAAAGTATAGATGAGCATTAGTTGCAATTGCATGACGCCACGAAAATGGCGGGTACAGTCAGTTGTGGGTTCACGAAACGCCCCGCTTATAAGCACTGGGTTTCTTCTGGTTCCTTACAACTTATTGAAGTCCGTCGGTCGACTCCGCGTGACCGTGAGTTTGACCATAAACGAAGGATGTTACGTAAGGAATTTGGGCAAAGCTTGCGTAAGGACCGAGAAGCCTGGTGGTCGGAGCGTGCTAATGAGATGGAAGCAGCAGCTGCATCTGGTAACTACCGGAAGCTCTTCCAGCTCATCCGAGCCACTGGCAGCAAGAAGTCTGGTGTGAGTGAAACAATCTGCGAGGATGATGGGATGCCAATCACTAACATCCATCGACGTCTTGGACGATGGGCAGAATTTTTCGAAGGGAAGTTCAACTGGCCTGCTGCTCTGGCAACATCGGTCAGACTGTCCTGCCCTCCATGGCCGGTGACGACTGATCCACCAAGCGAGGAGGAAGTCCGCAAGGAACTCCAACTCTTGAAGCGTTACAAATCACCTGGCCCAGATGACTTACCTCCGGCTCTTTTTAAAGATGGTGGTGACTTTTTGACTAAGGAATTGGCGACGTTGTTTACAAAGGTTTGGGAATTAGAGAGTGTACCAACGTCATGGAGTGAGTCAATAGTTGTCCCTATCTTTAAAAAGGGTTCACGTCGTTCCTGCAACAACTATCGGGGGATAAGTCTACTTCCGATTGCGTCCAAGCTATTGGCTTCCGTCATACTTCGTAGGTTGTTCAAAACCCGAGAAAGATTGACTCGCGAGGAACAGGCTGGGTTTCGTTCTGGTCGAGGGTGTATTGATCATATCTGCACCCTCCGCCAAATGTTAGAACACCATCATACTTTTCAAAGGCCAACAATCGTAGTGTTTCTTGACATCAGTGCTGCCTTCGATTCGTTGGATAGGACTGTTCTCTGGGATTGTCTATTGAAGAAGGGTGTGTCTGAGAAGTTCATTAACATCCTAAAAGCCTTATATAAAAGCACCTCAGGCAGAGTGAGTGCATACAACCACCTCTCTCCATTGTTCCATTCGAGCAGTGGGGTTAGGCAGGGTTGAATGTAAGTAATGGTGGTGTGGATTTGTTGCCTGGAGAAAGACTTCTCGACCTTGAGTATGCGGACGATATTGTCTTACTGTGCGATAATGCCCAAGGCATGCAATCCGCACTTAATCAGTTGGCAATCAGTGTCCGTAGGTATGGTATGTGCTTTGCACCTTCGAAGTGCAAAGTACTTCTACAAGACTGGCAGGATCTTAATCCTGTACTCATCCTGGATGGTGAGCAGATAGAAGTAGTAGAGAAGTTCGTGTACCTGGGTAGCTGCATAAGTGCTGGTGGGGGTGTGAGTGATGAGATCAACGCACATATTGTTAAAGCCAGAGCTGCTTATGCCAATCTGGGCTATCTTTGGCGCCTTCGTGATGTTAGTCTGGCTTTAAAAGGTCGGATCTACAACGCATCCGTGAGAGCAGTTCTGCTCTATGCTTGTGAAACCTGGTCTCTCCGAGTTAAGGACGTTAGAAGACTCTCTGTGTTCGATCATCGCTGTCTCCGAAGGATTGCTGACATTCAGTGGCAACACCATGTTAGTAATGCAGAGGTTTGGCATCGTGTGTTTGGGCACAGAGATGATAATTCAATTGGTGTCACCATCTTGAAACACCGACTTCGGTGGCTTGGACATGTTCTCCGAATGTCGTCCCAGAGAATTCCACGTCGTGCATTATTTGCCGACTCTGGGACTGGTTGGAAAAAGCGGAGAGGTGGTCAGTGCATGACATGGTGTCGTGGTATGAAAGAAAGCTGCAAAGGACTGGCTTCTGTCGGTCCTTCACGACTCCCTGGTTGGGGTCTGAGAGATGGTGCTACACAGTGGCTAGAGACGTTATCAGATATGGCTCAGAATAGAAGCCAGTGGCGATCCTGCTGTAACCTTCTTTTACTTTCTTCATAAAAAGTGGTTGTGTCTCTCTTACCTGAAAGAGTTTTTCCGATTGCACCTTTCCGTTCCCTCATTACTACTACACTACCTTACACCAATCTCTTCGTTATCTCTTTTTTTGCGCTCCTTAGCTTTTTTTCTATTTCTCTTCGAATTTTCATTGTTTTGTGTGGCGCATATATATTGGCGCTCTCTTGTACCAATATTTATGTGCTCAAATAATAATAATAATAATAATAATAATATTGATTTAATGTTGTATCAAAGAGCTAATAACTTGAGAACTATTAAAAATAAACTAAATAATAAATATCAGTTTATGTGTTGTGGAGATTGTTAAGTTTTTAATTAAAATCATGAGTCGAATGCAGTTAGACCACCATGGAAAACATGGAAAGGTTTATTGATCTATCTTATTTTTTTATAAATAATTTGTTAGGTTTTTCCTAAACAATTTAATAAGTACAATCTGTTAAATGAAACTTAGTGGTTATAATCATCATTGAACAGAAGTTAGAAATGTCCAAATATGAATTAAAAAAGCATGACTATTGATTTTTCTGATTCTTTATATGATTGAGGATGCCCACTATTAAATACTAG